ATGCATGTGTCATTCTATGCGGGGAGCAGTGGCGTAGTGGTTAGCGCGCTGCGCTATGAACCCAGCGACCCGAGTTCGATAATTACCGCTCACGGCCAACATCAGAAATGATTAATTATCTGAAATGGTTCCGGGCCTCGCCTAGGTCGAAACAAGTACCTGGTGCGGTGTGTAAACATCGACCCGAAGGAGAAGAAAGGCGGCTGGGCGTGGTATTGACCACCCACCCACCCCCTCATGTGGCATGCCAGACTTCATAAGTCCTTGCAAACAGCACTTGCCCAAAAACTATGTTGAGGCTATACGGGGGACTTTTGCCTTGGCAGCAGTGGCTTAGTGGTTAGCGCACCGTGACATCGGATCAATTGTCGGCCATAGGTAACGTCAGTGGCGAGTGATATCCGACCCGTTTCTGGGCTTCCCCTGGGTCGACTCAGCCTTAAATGAGTACATGCTACGGTGTGAATAAGTCAGCTTTGGAGATGCAAAGGTTTCCAGGTGGGATAATGGTCACACCACCCCCTTTGTGCGCCATTCTGTTCTTCGAAGATGCTCGCCGACGGCACTTGACTCAAAAGTCTGTATAATGCTACCCAGGGAACATTTATCTTTGTATAAGTGATATTTACAAAACCTCAGAGAACGCTGTCGTGAAGCATTCCAAGTAATACAAAAACACTGTGTACTCTTTATCTCTACTTAAATAGTGTTTTCTGTGCTGATGCCCCACGGTTTTGAGAGGGCACCTGCCAATAGCATCTGGCAAACCAGCAGTGTTTGTTTAGCATGCCTGACTCCTTGATGTTGTCAGCAGGGGACACTGCTACACAACGCATTGACTCTGCTGCAATACTCACGTGACCCGCACGGACCAGCGTGGTGAAGTATGGCAGCATGACCCCCGTGACTCGGATGGTGCAGGGGAGCCCTTCATCTAGCAGTGGTTTGACAGCAGGGCTGCACGTGTATGCTATGCACTGTATGTGCGTTGTATATATATATGAACACGTTCCTTGTATTACTCTTTGGTTCTTTCGGTAAAGTCACGTAGAAAGAAAAATAAATTAAATAATAGCATACGACGTTTCGATTGCAACACAAGCAATCATCATCAGGTACAAATGAAAGAGAAAACAAACCTAGGAAACTTAGAAATATAATGCAATATAACACAGAGAGTCGGCTAACATAACAGTCAACACCCTACCTGGTTGATTACGTTCTTCCAAAGATTGATAAATTTGAGAGAGAGACAAAACACAGACACGGAGACACATAGACAGACACATAAGCAGAGAGAGATGACACAGACACACACAGAGAGAGACACACGCATAGGCATACAGAGAAACAACGCCTCTGTATGCATATTTAATGATGTTTGTGTTTATAATTATTTCAGCTGAACTATTGTGAAAATTTATTGTATTTAATGCAGGATAAATAATTGATGACAAACCTTAATTTCCTCACTCTTACATTTAAATATGTATTAATTTTGCTGTTTATATATTTAATAAACTATATGTTTATTCACGTTGCTTATATGCATTTTCTCATTCATCCACAAGCTATAGCCTCTATTAAGTTATTATTTACACCTGTGCACGGTAAAAAGAAAAACCTTATTTATAGCGTCGCTGAATTGTGCATTATACCCCGTACTGAAGACGCCATAATGAAGACACACTCCTCCTAACCATTGTAGATTTCACTTGCTGAGATTTGCAATTTCTACCCGAGAGAAAAGACAAAAAACAACCCTTGCATTTCAATTTTAATGAGGGACGATGAAAGTAAATGCCGCACCGAATTCTTTGCCTTCACCACACTACGCACTTTGCCAATTTGGCAGGACACATCCAGCATGAAACGTGGCTTTAATTCCCATGCTACTTAACATCAATAGAAACAAAAATCACGAGCTTTACTTACACCCCGCTTAATTCAATTGAACCTTCATTTATATAAAGTGGATGGTCCATTGAGATCTAAAACAGAAAAATGTAAGCGAAGCATGAAAAACTGTTGACGAGCAGGATAACTTTTAAGCTACATTTCCTTTAAGATTATTTGAACACGGTGTAAAACGTGAACTCCGAGACAAGCCGACGGTAGAATGTTTGCATAAACGCAGTCGCAGGATCATTAATATCCACGTCGTTCCCCTGGTATAGCGGTGCATTTTATACATTCTCTAGGGAACTGATGGGCAGCCGCAGACACAAAACCATCCACCCTGTGCAGAGTGGTTCAACAGCGAGCACGAAGGCTATCCCGGCCACATCCTCCAAAAGTCACCCACTTTATAGCAGCCAATCTGTCGGTGACTATGTGCGTGGGCTGTAACATAAATGTCGTGAAACTGCCTTCCACGTGCGGCGTTGAGCTGCCCGTGCCCTTACTTGCCGGGATCTGGCAGTAAGGCTAGTGGAGGTAATCTCCATCTGCGCTGGGATAGTGTGCTCCCCCCAAACTCTCACACGTGGGTTTACTCCGAGCACTTCGGTTTTCATTCCACGTGTGTAATGGCCGAAAATGACCCCAAGGCAACGTGCAGCCTAAACGGCTCTTCAAAAATAAGCCAAGGTCTCCGATTGGAGGAAAGAGGCCTTCACAAAGATTGGTCAGAAGGCAGGATTTTGAAGTGATTGCAGGAAAGGTTTTAAAGGAGAATAGGTGGGAAACAAAGTGGAACCCAGAGGTGACGGTTTGCATACATTAGAGGGAACGGACAGGGATTGACTAAGGGAAATAGGGTGAGGGAACATTCGAGAAAGGGGGCTGAGGCATATATGAGGGGAGAGCACGAGGAGTGGGGAGGTTCGGAGGAAGATACAAGCTGGAATACACAAAAGAAGCCTAGGGTCTCGATTTAAAGCTTTCGTGACTGCAGGGATTCATCTTCTTGGTTCTTTCGGTAAAGTCACGTAGAAGGGAAGTAATAAAATAAAAATAAAAAATAAATTATTATGTTTTATTTTTATTATTTTATTACTTCCCTTCTACGTGACTTTACCGAAAGAACCAAGAAGAAGCCTAGGGTCCCTTATTGTGTAATTCTATAATAGGGTTACTGATGGTGTCGACTCAATAAAAGTGCCTCTTCTTATTTACTGTCGTCAGAGTCATTACACATGTATCAACACTCGTTAATTGGCTGAAAACATCTTGATATACAGAGGACCGCAGGGCTTGGGCAATTGTTGGCACCAGGTCACCCATCGCCTGGCTGCCTTCCCACTTGTCTGTGGTTTTATTATCTTACCTTCACGTAATATATATATATAAAACGCCTTGACCCAAGGCACTTCACAGAGACTTAAGAATGGTACACATGAATGTAATGGTGGAGATGAGGCAAATACAATGGATGAGAGGAAATAATGGGCAAATCTGCGATGCGTGAATTAGCTATAAGAGCAATTGGCGATGATGAATGGGTTGGATGGATGGGGAATGAGTGGGAGCCATGGAAAACGGAGCAGGAACGGCAGTGGTGGTTATGAGGAGGAGATTAAGTTGGCTGTGGGGTGAGCTATGGGAAAAAAGTGAGTTTTGAGGGCGGTGTTGAAACTATTGAGCGAACGTGATTGCTTAATGTGGAGGGGAAGTTTGTTCCAGTCAATCCTAATGAAAAGCTGTTCACTTTACAAATGTGTGTAAGTATGTAATTTAACTATTTAAGGGACTGCATTAAGAAGTTGTGTAGAAACAGGAATGGGATGAAATATTCAAATATAATTGAACTAGTTAGAACTAGTTAAAACTGCTGTACATATTTCGATTTAAAGCTTTCGTGACTGCATAGATTCATCTTCTTGGTTATTTTGGTAAAGTCACGTAGAAGGGAAGTAATATTATTTTATTATATTATTATGTTTTATTTTTATTATTTTATTACTTCCCTTCTACGTGACTTTACCAAAAGAACCAAGAAGATGCTGTACATATATTTTCAGAAAGGGTAAAAGTGCAGTCTTGTAATGTCTTTCTGGCGGAAAGGCCTCCACTAGATGCAGCTCTGCAGAGGCCATCTAAAGCGCATTTTTTGGCCCAATGTTCCACACTGATCAGACATCTTGGAAAACGAAAATATGTTTAAATGACTTCCCATTTTACGCAGTGGCAATTCTTCAGCACGGACAAAAAAGGCAGGCAAAAAAAAAATCATCAAAAAGATGCCCATATAGGTTAGTCAGCGTTGTTGATATCAACAGTCAATTTGTTTCAGCATTTGGCCCAAATAAAAAGGTATACAAAATGTGTATTTCTTGCTCAAATGAGCATTGAGGTGGAATTTCAGCCAGTACCAAAATTCCATATCCCTATTGTGGGGGATATGTCCATAGGACAGCCACTTAACTTCCCCCACAAAGTCTACTAATTATATAAACAACCAGAAGTATGATGGGCTGAGTCAACCTCCAAACAACATTTAAGCTAACAACCTCAAGATTATCTGTACAGGCATCCTCAGCTCCACCGCTGAGGATGCAAGGTTATTGTGCGGGCATACAAAAAATTACCTGAAACAATGAAATAATTGAGCCACCTTGGCAGAGTGAACCTAAAGCAGAGGTCGCAAACGGGTTTTGATTCCTTATCCGTACCCGTACCCGGCCGCACCAGGGTTGCAAACGGGTACCCGTACCCGTACCCTGATTGCGACCTCTGGGATGCAGCCATGTTGCAGGCGCGGGTGGGTTGATTCTAGGAACTTGAATTGTGAGAAGAGACAAGACGTTGGGAAATGAGTGACAAACAGTTACTCACCAGTGACTCACGGCCTACCCGTACCCGTACCCGGCCGCACCAGGGTCGCAAACGGCTACCTGTACCCGGCCGGGTACGGGTAGCCGGGTATCGGGTAGAGTACGGGTATCGGGTACCCGGTTGCGACCTCTGACCTGAAGTGGGGGGGCGGGGGGTGGGGGGGCGGGGGGGCTACCTTCAACGGGAATCCAGCAGCTCATCGGTGCCACCGGTGGGTGCCTTACCTATGACGCGGTAGACAGAGACGAAGATGAGCGTGAGCAGTATGAAGGCGGTGTTCCAGGTCCACTTGTGGGTGTCCACGGCCGAGATGCCCAGGAACATGAAGATGATTGTCTCGGCGCCGCTCGCCAGCATCTTCATGGTGAACTTGATGGTCGTCTGTGACTGCACCGAAATGTTGGCATCCACGTACTTCTTGCAGCAGATCCCACAGAACGTGATGCTGCGCAACGGGGGGAGAGCGGACAGAGTGTGTGCTTACGTCACCTGTAGACGGAGATGCCACGCGACACCGAGATAAATACCCAGGTACTCCATTGGAACCTCCTTTGCCAGTGCGCCTTTTGACGTCATCTGGTCCAAACACAATTTGAGACTAGGCTCTAAGAAAAGCTGTCTCGGGTGTGGACCAATCAATTTCAAGGACAGTGCATGCATTATCAGAGTTGTGTTTTTTGTCTGCATTCCGACCACAGGTATTGTGGTCAATGCAAACATGACTCCTTGTAAAAAGGGTGTCAGTTTTTTGCCAGATAAAATGGTAAAAAAACAATTACCCAGGTACTCTCTGTCAGCAGTCAAATTCTGCATGGGTGATAACCTACGTAAACAGACGTCCGTCCCGTGTCTCCACAAACAAATGTATAATTTCATAGTCATTGGCTTATTGACCGTCCAGCAGCATCTATTCAATCAAGCAACTTCAAGAATGGTTTTGACTTCCTGGGCCTCATCAACCAAGTCAGGTTTGTTGAACAAATTCTGCGGGGTTGCCAGATGTTCTTGGCAAGAGGGCTCCGTCCAAACGACAGGGCCCTGTTCAACGCAATGAAGCAATATGCATGGGTTAGGTGACACTGGGCGACTGACTGGACCTTGATGGAAATGTTTTGTGACTTTTTTGCCCAAATCCATTCCATTGATGCTTCAGATATCTCTCGATGAGATGAAGAATACACTTGGAAATGTCGCAGTGAAGCCAGTGTGTCAAATAATGGCCTGGGGAAACAATACTTCATAGGACATCTTTGATTTTAGTTTTTTAAGTGGCCTTTTTATCTTTACACAATAGGTGATGCATTTCCTGACAAGCTCTGCTAGAATGTAAGAGCAGTGCATACCATTCAAACCAGAATTGGGATTTTAGCCAAGTAAAGTATAAAACCAAACTTCATATGGTGGAGTTTTATGTGGTCATTTGTGACTGTGTTGAGACAATCCACATTCAACTCACTTTGAGAAGCGGCTTGAATCATGGGTGGCTTTCCAGATTCAAAGCCAAGACCTCAGTGGTTCCAGCCCGGAACACTGACCTCTGAGACACTTGGCCACCTGTCCTTGGTGGAACTGTAACTGTGTCAATGACCAATGACTAGGAATCATTTCGCTGTTTTTAGTTGGAGGAGGCATGGGCAATACGTGAAGCCAGAGATACAAAAAAACTAAACTCGTTTTTTTTTAATATACCACTGAGCTCTACAGCCCTTATTCATAAGCGACCTGGTCACAAATGATAGCTCAACAAAGTAGTGTATCAAGTGGAAATCTATAGCAGCCAAATAGTCGAAAACTAATGTTGTTGATGCCCGCAGGAATGATTATTTATTTATTTGTAATGCTGACACACTATCTCGTTCAGAATGTAAATTTGGTTTCAATGGCTACATAATACATTTTTTCTTTTTTTGCATCATATATTTGGGAATACAATTTCAAACACTTGGAACTAGAGGTGACAATCCTACTCGCATGCCGATAACAATGCTGGGGTGTTAAAACTTCACGAAAATAAGAACAGCGAGCTTTGAATGTTCCACAAAAATCACTCGAAGTTGCTGCAATATCATCGTGAACGCCGCACAATTTGGCCGAGTACAAAATGTGCTAGAGACAAAGGCTAATTATACGTAAACAACAGGAAAAAACCTGCGATAATAACTATAATTATTACATTTCCACAAGAAGATTATTCTGCCCCATCACCATTACCCCCAGCGAAGCTATTCTTTCCACATGACTCTTGATGCTAACGTTTAATCATTTCACTCGCATGTGTGAGAGTAGTTGGGACACATATATACGTCTATAACCAAAAAAACGTATCCTACAAATCTTCATGGATGTGCTGGAAAATTATGTTATAGTCGTGGTTTGAAGAATTTGCTGGCCAGCTTCTCACATCTGGTCAATTTTTCTGTACGGAGTAGAGACGTGGACACTGACAACAACAGCAACAAAAAGTCTCGAAGCTTTCTAGATGTGGCTGTATCGAAGAATGCTGAAAATCCCATGGCCAGCCAAAACCACCAATACACAAGTTCTGCAAGATATGGGCACTGACAGGCAACTGCTGAAGACCATCATTAGCAGGAAGTGTTACTACCTAGGCCACATTGCCCGAAACGACCACAAATACCAGCTATTAAAGCAAATCCTGGAAGGAAAAATCGAAGGGAAAAAACGACCAGGACGGCCAAAAACGACATGGCTCAGTAACATCAAAACATGGCTAGAATTAACAACAGCACAAACTCTACACGCCGTGCTAGACCGGGACCAATATCATCGTGAAGTCGCACACGCCGTTAGGCAGCACTAAAGAAGAAGAAGCTTCTCACAAAATGTGCTCGGCTATAGCAGGCGAACCACTCACGGACACAGCGGCCGGGGACGCGCGTGCGTGCATGCGCACACACGCGCCAAACCCCACGCTTAGTGGCACCGCAAACACTGGAATTTTAAAGTAGCTCTTGCTGACACGAACCTCTGCTCGTTACATCTGAATTTTTTACTGGCACAGTGGCGCGTGCGGTAGGCAACGCCTTCGGTCTGGTGCTATGCACGGGGTTTGGGGATCGTGAAAGCACACTGAGTATGTCAGACTATCCGAAACACAATGGGGATCATCGATGCCCGCTCACCTGACAGGCACTCACTTCCTTGTTGCTTTTGTGGGCCGGATGGCACTGCAACCGCTACTCTCCCTTCCTAATTCAAGGCACTACTCCCCTAAATGGGACCGAGCTGAGTGGGAACTTCACAGGGTTCTTAAGTGGGCACCCCCCTTGTACGCAGCATGGACGGGTTGGTGCTTTTTCTGTAGGATTGTATTGTTTATGTACGTGATGTTTAGATTTGTATACAATGAATTTTAGGTGTATCTTGTAATTTTATTGTTTGTTGCGGTTGAACCCAAATCAAAAGCCGAATGGCTCACAGGGTAAATCCTAATAAATGAAACTGAAAACTGAAACTGAAACCTTCGCTGGTGTTCCGTCGATTAGCCCACTACACCTCAGGTGGGCTCGACGGTAGGAACCAGCATCCTGGAACTACCCCCTCGATCCGCCACTCGACTCAGCCCTGCCCCTCCCCGCTGCCTGTTTGGGCTCTGCCATCGCTCGTTCCTCTTCAGCCAGAGCCAACGGGATGACGCTTCTACCCGCTTGCCGACGTCGGCCACCACCTCTTTCCTTGCCACCCCCTCGATGCGGAGCAGCCCCCCAGGGCTCTCCGGAGTGATCGTCCTGCGAAGCCCCTGCAGCCGACCTCAACTAGTAGGTCCCAGGCTCTCCCATAGTCGACTAACCTATATGGGCATCTTTTTTATTATTTTCCTACGTGGGTTGTCTCTTAGCATTCCGGTTTCATCCAACGTGGAATTTGTTTTCTAAATAAACCGCTGGAAAATTCTTGGAATGAATTATACAATCCAAATTGTAACTCGTTGTTGCATTATGTAATATATGATTCCCTATTTGTGCAGGAATACTACTTTTCAGTAGGGTCCATCATTGGGATGTTTTGCCACACACCAATTACATTGTAATTGTAGCTATCGGAGGAAACGAGAGAACCCAGAAGAAATCCAGGCAGCACAGGGGGAGAACAAACAGGCTCCAGACAGAATGACACCCGAGTCAGGAATCGAAACCAGCTCCATCTTGCTGTGAGGTACAAGTGTAATCACTCTGTCACGCTGTTGCCCACATGAGAAATAATATTTTTGAATTGAAAATGGCCAAGAACTGCACATTCCTTGCTAATATTTCTGACTCTCCATCTTATCAAAAATCGACCACCTTATTTAAAATTGGCATGTAACAATGCATCAATTCATCTGTCAAAATCCATTCCTTCACTCCCAAATTCACGAATCAAGTCGTGCGATCGAGAATTGATTATTGATGATTCATATTTACACACATGAGTGGCAGAGCGGTGTCACGGGGGTTGGCGCACTCTGCTATGAACTCGGCGACCCGAGTACAATTCCAGCCCATGGGAGGCCACCAGTGGTGAGTGTTATCTGAGCCCTCCACCAATCTGCACTGACCAGCGTGGTGAAGTACGGTCAAACAACACCCACAACCGACATGATGCGGGGAGGCCTCCATCCAACTAAGGATAGACATCGGGTGAAATGTTTTTTTTTATACGCAAATAATGTGCCAATGCTACATTTATGGCACGAACACACAAAAACAACTGCACTTAATAATACAAAGCAAAATGACAAACGAGACGGTAATATTACACTTTTAACATACCAAAGCAAGTCACGAATTTTTAATAATGACAATAAACATTTCTGGGGAAGGCTGGAGGGCACTGAATCATGGGCAATCACAATCACTGAGAGTTTAATTGCCCTTGCAGCCCAGTCGGTTCAACGGTTGTTGACTTCACAGCCCACAGAACCGGCGCGTGGGTGCGTCGCGCTGCTGCTGTGATGCTACTGCTGCTGTGATGCTGCTGCTGTGATGCTACTGCTGCTGTGATGCTACTGCTGCTGTGATGCTACTGCTGCTGTGATGCTACTGCTGCTGTGATGCTACTGCTGCTGTGATGCTGCTGCTGCTGTGATGCTGCTGCTGTGATGCTACTGCTGCTGTGATGCTACTGCTGCTGTGATGCTACTGCTGCTGTGATGCTACTGCTGCTGTGATGCTACTGCTGCTGTGATGCTACTGCTGCTGTGATGCTACTGCTGCTGTGATGCTACTGCTGCTGTGATGCTACTGCTGCTGTGATGCTACTGCTGCTGTGATGCTACTGCTGCTGTGATGCTACTGCTGCTGTGTTGCTACTGCTGATGTGATGCTACTGCTGCTGTGATGCTACTGCTGCTGTGATGCTACTGCTGCTGTGATGCTACTGCTGCTGTGATGCTACTGCTGCTGTGATGCTACTGCTGCTGTGATGCTACTGCTGCTGTGATGCTACTGCTGCTGTGTTGCTACTGCTGCTGTGATGCTACTGCTGCTGTGTTGCTACTGCTGCTGTGATGCTACTGCTGCTGTGATGCTACTGCTGCTGTGATGCTACTGCTGCTGTGATGCTACTGCTGCTGTGATGCTACTGCTGCTGTGTTGCTACTGCTGATGTGATGCTACTGCTGCTGTGATGCTACTGCTGCTGTGATGCTGCTGCTGTGATGCTACTGCTGCTGTGATGCTACTGCTGCTGTGATGCTGCTGCTGCTGTGATGCTACTGCTGCTGTGATGCTGCTGCTGTGATGCTACTGCTGCTGTGTTGCTACTGCTGCTGTGTTGCTGCTGCTGCTGTGATGCTACTGCTGCTGTGTTGCTACTGCTGCTGTGTTGCTACTGCTGCTGTGATGCTACTGCTGCTGTGATGCTACTGCTGCTGTGATGCTACTGCTGCTGTGATGCTACTGCTGCTGTGATGCTACTGCTGCTGTGATGCTACTGCTGCTGTGATGCTGCTGCTGCTGTGATGCTACTGCTGCTGTGATGCTACTGCTGCTGTGTTGCTACTGCTGCTGTGATGCTACTGCTGCTGTGATGCTATTGCTGCTGTGATGCTACTGCTGCTGTGATGCTATTGCTGCTGTGATGCTACTGCTGCTGTGATGCTATTGCTGCTGTGATGCTACTGCTGTGATGCTACTGCTGCTGTGTTGCTACTGCTGCTGTGTTGCTACTGCTGCTGTGATGCTACTGCTGCTGTGATGCTATTGCTGCTGTGATGCTACTGCTGTGATGCTACTGCTGCTGTGATGCTACTGCTGCTGCTGCTGTGATGCTACTACTGCTGTGATGCTACTGCTGCTGTGATGCTACTGCTGCTGTGTTGCTACTGCTGTGATGCTACTGCTGTGATGCTATTGCTGCTGTGATGCTATTGCTGCTGTGATGCTACTGCTGTGATGCTACTGCTGCTGTGATGCTATTGCTGCTGTGATGCTACTGCTGTGATGCTACTGCTGTGATGCTACTGCTGCTGTGATGCTACTGCTACTGCTGCTGTGTTGCTACTGCTGCTGTGATGCTACTGCTGCTGTGATGCTACTGCTGCTGTGTTGCTATTGCTGCTGTGTTGCTACTGCTGCTGTGTTGCTACTGCTGCTGCTGCTGTGTTGCTACTGCTGCTGTGATGCTACTGCTGCTGTGATGCTACTGCTGCTGTGATGCTATTGCTGCTGTGATGCTACTGCTGCTGTGTTGCTACTGCTGCTGCTGCTGTGTTGCTACTGCTGCTGTGTTGCTACTGCTGCTGTGATGCTACTGCTGCTGTGTTGCTACTGCTGCTGTGTTGCTACTGCTGCTGTGATGCTACTGCTGCTGTGTTGCTACTGCTGCTGTGATGCTACTGCTGCTGTGTTGCTACTGCTGCTGTGTTGCTACTGCTGCTGTGATGCTACTGCTGCTGTGATGCTACTGCTGCTGTGTTGCTACTGCTGCTGTGATGCTACTGCTGCTGTGTTGCTACTGCTGCTGTGTTGCTACTGCTGCTGTGATGCTACTGCTGCTGTGATGCTACTGCTGCTGTGTTGCTACTGCTGCTGTGATGCTACTGCTGCTGTGATGCTACTGCTGCTGTGTTGCTACTGCTGCTGTGATGCTACTGCTGCTGCTGCTGTGTTGCTACTGCTGCTGTGATGCTACTGCTGCTGTGATGCTACTGCTGCTGTGATGCTACTGCTGCTGCTGCTGTGTTGCTACTGCTGCTGTGATGCTACTGCTGCTGTGATGCTACTGCTGCTGTGTTGCTACTGCTGCTGTGATGCTACTGCTGCTGCTGCTGTGTTGCTACTGCTGCTGTGATGCTACTGCTGCTGTGATGCTACTGCTGCTGTGTTGCTACTGCTGCTGTGATGCTACTGCTGCTGCTGCTGTGTTGCTACTGCTGCTGTGTTGCTGCTGCTGCTGTGTTGCTACTGCTGCTGTGATGCTGCTGCTGCTGTGTTGCTATTGCTGCTGTGTTGCTACTGCTGCTGTGTTGCTACTGCTGCTGTGTTGCTGCTGCTGCTGTGATGCTACTGCTGCTGTGTTGCTACTGCTGCTGTGATGCTGCTGCTGCTGTGTTGCTATTGCTGCTGTGTTGCTATTGCTGCTGTGATGCTGCTGCTGCTGTGTTGCTATTGCTGCTGTGTTGCTACTGCTGCTGTGATGCTGCTGCTGCTGTGTTGCTATTGCTGCTGTGTTGCTATTGCTGCTGTGTTGCTGCTGCTGCTGTGTTGCTATTGCTGCTGTGATGCTACTGCTGCTGTGTTGCTACTGCTGCTGTGATGCTGCTGCTGCTGTGTTGCTATTGCTGCTGTGTTGCTACTGCTGCTGTGTTGCTACTGCTGCTGTGTTGCTGCTGCTGCTGTGATGCTACTGCTGCTGTGATGCTATTGCTGCTGTGATGCTGCTGCTGCTGTGATGCTATTGCTGCTGTGATGCTACTGCTGCTGTGATGCTACTGCTGCTGTGATGCTATTGCTGCTGTGATGCTGCTGCTGCTGTGTTGCTGCTGCTGCTGTGATGCTGCTGCTGCTGTGATGCTGCTGCTGCTGTGATGCTACTGCTGCTGTGATGCTGCTGCTGCTGTGATGCTACTGCTGCTGTGATGCTACTGCTGCTGTGATGCTGCTGCTGCTGTGATGCTACTGCTGCTGTGATGCTACTGCTGCTGTGATGCTACTGCTGCTGTGATGCTACTGCTGCTGTGATGCTACTGCTGCTGTGATGCTATTGCTGCTGTGATGCTATTGCTGCTGTGTTGCTACTGCTGCTGTGTTGCTACTGCTGCTGTGATGCTATTGCTGCTGTGTTGCTGCTGCTGCTGTGTTGCTACTGCTGCTGTGATGCTATTGCTGCTGTGTTGCTGCTGCTGCTGTGTTGCTACTGCTGCTGTGATGCTATTGCTGCTGTGATGCTACTGCTGCTGTGTTGCTACTGCTGCTGTGATGCTATTGCTGCTGTGATGCTACTGCTGCTGTGATGCTATTGCTGCTGTGTTGCTACTGCTGCTGTGATGCTATTGCTGCTGTGTTGCTACTGCTGCTGTGATGCTACTGCTGCTGTGATGCTATTGCTGCTGTGTTGCTACTGCTGCTGTGATGCTATTGCTGCTGTGTTGCTGCTGCTGCTGTGATGCTATTGCTGCTGTGTTGCTGCTGCTGCTGGGATGCTATTGCTGCTGTGTTGCTGCTGCTGCTGTGTTGCTACTGCTGCTGTGTTGCTATTGCTGCTGTGTTGCTACTGCTGCTGTGTTGCTGCTGCTGCTGTGTTGCTACTGCTGCTGTGATGCTATTGCTGCTGTGTTGCTGCTGCTGCTGTGTTGCTACTGCTGCTGTGTTGCTACTGCTGCTGTGATGCTATTGCTGCTGTGTTGCTGCTGCTGCTGTGATGCTATTGCTGCTGTGTTGCTGCTGCTGCTGTGTTGCTGCTGCTGCTGTGATGCTATTGCTGCTGTGTTGCTGCTGCTGCTGTGTTGCTGCTGCTGCTGTGTTGCTACTGCTGCTGTGTTGCTGCTGCTGTGATGCTACTGCTGCTGTGATGCTACTGCTGCTGTGATGCTGCTGCTGCTGTGATGCTACTGCTGCTGTGATGCTACTGCTGCTGTGATGCTACTGCTGCTGTGATGCTACTGCTGCTGTGATGCTGCTGCTGCTGTGATGCTGCTGCTGCTGTGATGCTGCTGCTGCTGTGATGCTGCTGCTGTGATGCTACTGCTGCTGTGATGCTGCTGCTGTGATGCTACTGCTGTGATGCTACTGCTGCTGTGATGCTACTGCTGCTGTGATGCTACTGCTGCTGTGATGTTACTGCTGCTGTGATGCTACTGCTGCTGTGATGCTACTGCTGCTGTGATGCTACTGCTGCTGTGATGCTACTGCTGCTGTGATGCTACTGCTGCTGTGATGCTACTGCTGCTGTGATGTTACTGCTGTGATGCTGCTGCTGCTGTGATGCTACTGCTGCTGTGATGCTGCTGCTGCTGCTGTGATGCTGCTACTGCTGCTGTGATGCTACTGCTGCTGTAATGCTACGGCTGCTGTGATGCTGCTACTGCTGCTGTGTTGCTACTGCTGCTGTGTTGCTGCTGCTGCTGTGATGCTACTGCTGCTGTGATGCTACTGCTGCTGTGTTGCTACTGCTGCTGTGTTGCTGCTGCTGCTGTGATGCTGCTGCTGCTGTGATGCTGCTGTTGCTGTGATGCAGCTGCTGTGTTGCTACTGCTGCTGTGTTGCTACTGCTGCTGTGTTGCTACTGCTGCTGTGATGCTGCTGCTGCTGTGATGCTGCTGCTGTGTTGCTACTGCTGCTGTGATGCTGCTGCTGCTGTGATGCTGCTGCTGTGTTGCTACTGCTGCTGTGATGCTGCTGCTGCTGTGATGCTGCTGCTGCTGTGATGCTGCTGCTGCTGCTGCTATGATGCTGCTGTGATGCTACTGCTGCTGTGATGCTACTGCTGCTGTGATGCTGCTGCTGCTGTGTTGCTGCTGCTGCTGCTGCTATGATGCTGCTGTGATGCTACTGCTGCTGTGATGCTACTGCTGTGATGCTGCTGCTGCTGTGATGCTACTGCTGCTGTGATGCTACTGCTGCTGTGATGCTACTGCTGCTGTGATGCTGCTGCTGCTGCTGTGATGCTGCTGCTGCTGTGTTGCTACTGCTGCTGTGATAGTGCTGCTGTGATGCTGCTGCTGTGATGCTGCTGCTGTGATGCTGCTGCTGCTGTGATGCTACTGCTGCTGTGATAGTGCTGCTGTGATGCTGCTGCTGCTGCTGCTGTGATGCTGCTGATGTGATGCTGCTGCTGCTGTGATGCTGCTGCTGTGCTGCTTACGCGAGGATGGCGGAGAGCGAGAGCATCTCGGCGGAGAGGTAGGCGAGGTAGGCGAAGAGGAAGACGAAGCCCGGCTCGATGGCGTGCACGTGCTTGGTGCAGCGCGTGACGAGCGACAGCATGAAGGCGAACACGACTCCGACCGCCGTGCCGCCCAGGCTCACCACGAGGAACGAGGCTGCGCCACCGCCACACGGAGACAAAGATCGCCCTCACCACCACCACACACACTGCCCGTGCAGCACACGCAGGGCTCGTCTGGGGCAAGCGTCGTTAGCGAGCACCTATTAAGGCACCTGTTCATCCTCGCAGTGGCTTTTGGCTCGCCGTCGAACAAATGCGCTTCTGCGGCCGTCTGGAACCATCTTCCTTGTGATAGTAGGGAGCCACGGGAGCTGTGAACTTTTTGCATTTAGTTTGTCGTCCTTCCCCCGCGCATCCGTTTAGCCTCCGATGAACCACTACGCTACTGCTCCACCACCACGCTCCTGTTCTTAATCAACCACATCACCACGGGCACACAAACCCGCACAATTTCACGGCCGCAAAAACCACGTCATCACAAATCAAACGTATAATGACTACGCATCAGCGACAAGATGCTGCCGTGGCTGCAACGGGCAGTTGGAACGGACTTGAGATCCAGCGGTTGCAAGTTCGATCTCCAGGTGCGGCAGTTGAAACAATGGGGCCCTTTTCTTAACCCCCCCCCACCCTTTACCCTACCACGGCAGGTCACACGTGGAAGGGTAAAGTGTGGGTATAGCTCTTGCCACCTATTTCAGGACGCTTGGCCAGTGTGGAAGAGTAGGCCAAGTACCCTTTAGAGGGATTCTCCAGAGCTCCCGCTCGTGGAAGACCCTGCGAGAAGTTGCATGACTGCCCTTTTGTAGGTCAGCGCACTCAGCGGCGTAGCTAGCGAGTGTGCAGGCGGTGCAACTGCGCCAGGACACACGGGGCTAGGAGGGAGGGGGGCGTGGAGGGGGAGCAGGGGGCCCCAATTAATTCCTTGCACCAGGGCTTGTGCCAACCATGCCGGGGCACTGAGCCGACTCGTGATAAATTAACACGGCAGTTTCTGATGGTTACTTTCTCCGCCTGCGCACTGCACGACGGCCTGTATGAATCAGCAACGCCGTTTCGAAACGGTGATTTACTACCAGCCAGCAATACCAGCTACCGTGCACGGTACCCCCAAAACGCCACGACTGCGAAGTCGTTCTTCAAATTGATAGGGCACAACCTCATAGTGGGAGCCACGTGACTGGTCAAGGCACACACAGAGACCCACGCACATACACGTGGCCCAGTTTAACATATGGTATATGTGTGTTAAAAGCCATTCGTTGTTTCCAGAAATTGTAAAATTCCACCGTCATTGGCCAAAGAATCTCTCTTCTGCAGATATTGCAGCTTTAAAATTAACCTGAATGGAGAATGAATGAAGGAGTCAATGAGAAATTGCCTTAATAGTGTACAAGCCTGATGGTGCCATAACTCCGAGGCAGACACTGCAATAAAGGTGCCAGGACTGATGAATCAGTGTACTCGATAATTACCGCCTTCAACTGTTCAGTGCACCCTGGTTTTTGATAAAATAATGCAAAAAAATGCGTGAACTTTAAACGTAGGGTTTCGTAAGCCAACACAGCGAGCCATATTTGTGTGTGGGTTAGGGCATGGGGTAGTGTTATGCTGATTGATTGATTGATAAAGCCCGTGATAACAATATTCGTTTAAACATTATTACTTGGCCTAACCCATAAACTGAATATGGATCAATAACGCCCGCAGCCCTGCCAATCCACTGCAGGATGACGGCCTCCCTACCAAGCGTTTGACCGTGCTTCTCCACTCGGGACTCCTTCTGATTCACAGATTACTTCCCTACTTGCGGGGTTGATTGAGCGGAGGCTCCCAGGACAGCTTCGGATACGGCTCGCCACTCGAAGTTTATCGCCGTGGGCAGGAATCCGGCGCGCTCAACCACCACCCCCAGCCGCCCCGGTGTGTGTATTTGTAGGGGTTATTACGGGAGAAACGGCGGACAACAAACACAGGGCTGTCGGCACTCACATACACGGGGGGTCACACCGACGTCCGCATCAGTTATTGACCACGCCCCCAGCCCTCGAAGGCGATCCCTATAAAAGGTGGAAACCAAAGAGCTCGAGGGGAGTTCGACACGAAGCTGACCAGTGAAGATCCAAGACTCGGAGATTAGGCCCTGGGACTCCCCGGTCTCGCCGTCCTTATAAGGGCCGAGCCGGGTAAGCCAGTGGCGCGGCCCAAGAGCTTCCAGACCGCTGCCCTTATCAGGGCAAGGCTGGTTAGCTGGTGCCGAGATCTGTGCTTGCCAGGGCCAGATCAGTCAGCCTCCCGTAGCCCAGTAGAGGAGGACTGGGGGACAGGACAGAGGGCTTAGTACTAGGGTGGGTTTCCCATAGTACGGGTGAAGGGGCCGATACCCCTTCAACTATTGTATCTGTCCCGGAGTTAATAAACAGTGTGTCCCAACTTCGACATCGTCTCCTCCTCTACTTACTACATCTGGTGTTGGAAGTGGTCCAAGCATGGATACGAGACGGAAGACTCGTGCCCAAGACCCAGGAGAGGATGACGACGAGGGAGGGGCAGTGCAAGACATCGCCGCCGACGTACCTGCACAACAGCTGCCGGCTCCGACATCGGCGGGGTCGTCGGAGAGGGCCGGGACGTCGACTGACGAGTTGGCGTTGGCTCACTCGCGGCTGGCGGAGCTCTTGTATGCAGCGGCCGCTATGCTGGAACAAATAACTCGCCTGGGGCCGGGAGGAGCGACGCGGCGGGAAGATGGACAACGCCCGCCAGAAACTCCCGCCTTTACAACAGCGGGGCGACTCGAAATTCCCGCCACGAAGACAGTAGGGGCGGAGGGAGGAGTCCCAGCTCGTCACGCGGGGGACGGTGCCCAGCCAGCAGCCGCCACGTCATCGGCGGAGGCGGGTCGCGGTGGCGGCCTATCAGGGGTTGCAACGTCACCACCAGCGGACGCCAGCACCGACCAAGCCCCGACCAACACGTCACTGACGGCGCGACACCCATTAGAGTCCGCCATTACTCATACAGTACGGGGACGCGCTACGGATGCTGCAAGAGGATCGGAGACGGAGCCGACATTCCAGCAACGCCTGCCGGCCCTGCAGGTATTTGTTGCAAGCGACGGCGATTGGGGGGGGTTCCAGCGCCGGTTCTTGGCCCACCAAAAGATGGCAGGCTGGTCGGACAACGAGGCGCTGTGTGCTCTCCCGGCGTTACTGGACGGCGACGCCTTGGGCACCCTCACTGCTGCACCCAAGTCGGCTCGCTCCACCATTCAGTCGGCGCTGCAACTGCTGGCCACCGTTTATGGGCCGCCCTCCGATTGTCGCCAGCTCTTCTATGAACGGCAGAAGGGTGACAAGGAATCGCCACTCGCTTATCGCACGGCCCTGCTGTCATTGGCGAAGGACGCTTTCCCGCTTATGGATGAAGAGGGGATCGATGCGATGGTGGCCGAGAAAATTTTGCTGCTGGCTGACGATTTGGACTTCACCATCTTAGCGCAGGACGATGCGGATATGTCATCACTGCGGGCTGCAAGGCACATTCACGCCAATCTCATCTCCCAGCGGAGGAAGGCGAACAAAGCAGCTGCACGACACACCGTGGCGGCGACCTCTTCCGGAATGGAGGGAGCCTTCGCTGCGGATCGTTCTGCAGGATGGCGATCTGCCGAGCGACCGGCTCGGGACGTTCCAAGCCACCGAGACCAGCCCAAGTCCTCTGGAACGCTCGTCGTCTGCTATAATTGTGGCCTCCGGGGCCACGTGGCGTCCGGATGCCGGGCTCCTCGACAGCGCGGTGCGAGACTTGGAGCTGCGGACGGCCCTCTTCACAAGCCTTCGCAACATCCTCGGGCAAGTCATGGCACCCCACATGTTCGGCCTGCACACACACCCACTTTCCTATCACAAGGTCCGACACACGATTCTCGGGGTTTGGGTGCTGGTGCGTCGGGTCGCGGCATGTCGGGGAGGGCGCTCCAACCGGGCCAATGGTCCGAGTTGGCTCACCGAGTTGTGGCTGCATCGGCGGGGTCGTCCGTTGTTGCGGGGCATATTGACGGGGTGGAGGTACGGCTATTGGTCGATACGGGAGCTTCGGCAACTATCATTTCGGATTTGATTTATAATATCCTGCCCGTTCAGAGTCGCCCGTTGCTCCCTGTCGATATACCGTTTTACGCTGCGAATGGGGGCTCGTTGGGTATTATCGGTCAAATTCGAGCGCAAATTTCGATAGGGGACATTAAACTATCTGGCCCGGTGTTCGTCTCCTCCTCGCTGGCTATTCCGTGCCTGTTGGGGACGGACTTTTTGGCCAAATTGCCCATCAAAATTTTGATTGACCAGCAATGCATCGAGCTTCCATCGGGCCGACGTATGACGTTCCTACCTGCCACCCCTGCCTTGCGTGTTGCCTGTGCTACGGTACAGGCGCTTGTTGCTCGGACGGTGCGTGTACCCCCGGGGGCACAGATGTTGGTACCCCTGCGCTTGCGTCGACAGTTCGATAAAGGGGTCTCTGACCGGGGCGTTATTTTGGGACCATCTAGAGCCGGGGTGAGTGGGCCAGATCTGGTGACGGCCCAGACTATTGTTAAAGGGGATGGGGACCCGTTTATCGCGGTTCTCAATGTCGGGACACGGACGGCAGTGGTTTCGCAAGGTACCGTGTTCGCACATGCGGTTCCGGTACCTGCGGAAACGCCGATCATTGGCCAGGTGGCCACCGATTCTCAAACGCGATTAGCCTCAGACGCTGACGAGGGTTGGCTGGATGCGTTGTGTGCTGAGTCACCTGACCTGTCCGACGCACAACGTGCTAGATTACGCGCCTTATTGCGAGAATTTTCCGACGTCTTCAGTAAACACAAATACGATATCGGATGTACCAAATTGCTACGCCACCATATTGACACCGGTGACAACGCTCCTATCCGCCAAAATCCTTTTCGGTTAAGTCCCGCCGAAAAGGATCATGTCAAATCGGCTGTAGATGACATGTTGAAATCGGACATCATTTCTCCCTCGACCAGCCCTTGGGGTGCACCCATAGTGTTGGTTAAAAAGCACGACGGGTCCCTAAGGTTCTGCG